AAAAAAACCCACTCAGAAAAACTCACAGCGTGAGACGCTTCCTCAGGAGCTGAAAACGCCACAAATCCAGAGCCCTTACTGATTCCACTAGGATCACGCATAACCTTTTGATAAAAAGGAAGAAATAAATCAATAACAAACAAGACTGGCAATATCAAAACAACTAACTTGAAATTCAAAAAGCATAACCACAAACCTTGCATGAAGTAATTGTACCAAACTCTGCAAACAGCTCCTTCAATTTTTCATCATCTATGCTGTCATCCAAATTCTTGATGTACAAATTTACCCCCTGAAGTTTATCAGCAGCTTCCTTCATACTTTGCTCAAACTGACCTCTAAGTTCAAGTTCTCTTTCAGATTTTTTCTGGGCTCTCCCAACATACCACTCCTTTTCATCAATTTTTTTTCCATTTAGAGCTTCAACAGCTTTAGCAGCATCATCAGCATTGTCAAAGTTTACAAATCCAAAACCCTTGGACTTTCCATCTGCATCCCTCATAACTACAGCACTAGTAATTGCCCCATACTCACTAAAAATTTTCTTCAAATCTTCATCTGTTATTGATTCAGAAAGATTTTTGACATAAACATTGTTGAATTTTGTCTTATTCCAAGCAGTATCTCTTTCCTGCCTACGAAGGAAGTGTCCCACAAAGACCTGCTTATCATTGATCAGCATTCCATTCAACTTATCTATTGCCTTTTGAGCAGATTCCTCGTTGTCAAATTGTACAAAACCATAGCCTTTGGACTGTCCAGAAGCATCGGTAGCAATTTTGCAAGAAAGAATGTTTCCAAATGTAGAAAATGTCTCATACAAAGCTTTGTGGTCTATGGACTTGTCCAGATTCTGCACAAGAAACAATTCCAAAGATTTGTTAAAAGAAAGCAAAAACTGAAAAAATGATGCCATGTTTACACATACTGTTGCAACAAAACGGAAAAGTTAAAGTCAATTTCCAACCAAGAAAATATTGTAAATGCCACCCACATCAAAATTATGGAAAAATTTTGCACTACAATTGTGGAACCAGAGAGAGTCAAACAAAGAAGAACAATGCAGAATAAGAGACAAAAGAATCAAACCAAAATTAATTTGCACATCATGGAGTAACCATATTAATACATAACATAAAGGAACTTTCGTGCTGCCCAATAGAACTCAAGTTAATCTAAATATGTTGACAATACCTTGATAAATATGTTTGCAGTGCCACTCTTACGGAGGCTAGGGTCCCGATGAGAATACATGATTCTAATGGGCTTGTTATTCAGTGGGGTGAAGTTCAGCACGTCCATTGCTCTTGCAGCTGCAGACACCATAAAAATAAACATGAAGATAACAGATAGGAATAGGCTCAAAGAAGTTCCTAAAATTCATAACTACGGAAATATGAGCAACAATTTTCTATTTTAATGCTGAAATAAATCAGGTAAAGAAAGAAAAAAATAGCTCATTTCAGAAACAATCCCTTTCAACAATAACATGAACAGTCCAATTCAAAAACTGAACTTTACCATCATCAACTTCAAACAAATTTCAAGAATTTCGTATACCCATCTCATGATATGCATTTCTTAATCCTCTAAAAATTTCTCAATATTCCACCCCGTAATCCAACAGAAAAACTAAAATCAATAATTAAAAGGGCCAATTTTGCAGCGGAACACAGAACCTACCGTCCTGGGCATTGGCGTAGTTTACATAGCCATATCCAAGAGACCGACGAGTGGCCAAGTCCCTGCAAACCCTAACCGACAAGACCGCAGCAACCTGGTTGAACAGATCGTATAGCTGCGAATCGGTGACGTTAACGTCCAGATCCCCAACATAAAGCGAGGCTGCCGGGAATTGGCTCCCTCCCGAACCGTTCGGGCCGGACACCGGAGTCTGGTGCTGGACCTGAATCTGCGCCATTCCAAAAACCCAAACCCTCTTGATTTTTTTGGGGATTTTTTTGGTTTTTTT